CATCATCATCTCTACTTTTCTAAATTGTCTCCGTCAGAAAACAAACCTGCTGCTCCTCTTTTCTCTCTCTCTCTCTCTTTAAATCTGCTCACACACTCTCCCCACTCTGCAACACACTCATCCACACACACTCACACACACTCCCACACACACACACACACACAGAGTCACAGAGCCCTGGGAGGGTGAGAGCTGAGTGCAGCAGGGACGCAGACGGTGGAGGGGAGGACTTGGACGAGGGCGGGACGCAGCGACGGGGGAGGAGACGCGATTGGTCTGAGGGGAATTTAAGGGGCCCACAAACACCCAATGATGAAGGGATGTTGAAGTTGATGATTTCATCTGACACAACTTCATCACTTCAGGAGGAGACGTTCCGACATCTCCGACCATGATCATGGAAACTAGAATATTAGACGGTTTCACTTTTACTCAAACAAACAGGTGATTAAATTAAACCTGTGACCACGTCTTCAGCAGCAGTTCACCTCCCAACCTCCTGGATCATCTGCTGCACGTCAGAAACCTTTCAGACATGATCAGTCCCACTTCATGACACACACACACACACACACACACACACACACACTAACACACACACACCAGTGAGTGAATGTTGTTTTAGGCAACAGGCTGAACCAGTAGAAATCTTTTAATTGCAAATGAAGCTCGAGGCCGGAGCTGCTCCCGCCCTGAGACGAGCCGCCATGACTCATTGTTGACATTCCAGAGAAGGACCAAAGCATTCAGACTCCACCTACACACACACACACACACACACACACACACACACACACACACACAGACACACACACACACAGGTTTGTGTTTAAAGCTGCATGAAGAGTGACCTCAAGTTTAAATTGTAACTTTTCTCAATGGAGTCTGGCACAGTGTGAAACTACAAACTCATGTATCCACAGAGTAAACTTGCTTCTTCTCATTACTTCAGAAAATCATTCCCTCAGATTAATAATTAAAGTCACTAGATCATGAAGCTCACGGGTTCATGTGCCAACTTCGACCTTGTGACGAATGAAACGTGTCTTTGTCGAGTTTCTGGGTTTTTTCTGTGACGAGAGAAACTTTGAGGTTCTTTAACTCTGCACAACGTTGGCGTCCACAAGAAAAACTCTGCAGCAGACTAAGAGCAGAGAACCACACTGTACCTTTAAACCTTCCACCGATGCCTCATGAATTCACGGGGACAAGTGGAATTCTTCACCAGCTGGAGGAAACACTCCTCATCACGCTGCTCGGACTCTGAGCACATTTAACAAAGTGAAGACAATGGACTACTCAGACTTCCTGCTCCTGATCGATCCTGTGCATCGTCTTTGTTACTCTGCTCATTAAGAAGCTGCACCGACATCTTCACATCTTCATGATGGATGATCTCACTCAGACCATGAAAGACGCTCAGCAGACAGAAGGCGTTTCCTTCAGGAGACACGTTCACATCAGCTCCATTATGTTTTCACATGTTCAAACAGCCTGAGTGTCAAAATAAAAGTTAATATTATCTAAAACAGTGTCAATCAGTCTGTCAAAATAAAAGTCATAGTAAGGCGTCCTGGTGCTATGAGTCACTAATGACACTGTGATGCTGCTACCTACTGGTCAGCTCTGTCTACTGCATCAGCCACTTCCTGTACAGCCATTCACACTATGAGGTCACCCAGAAAATAAGAAAAAGATTCATCTCAATGAAGCAGGAAGTGGAAGTTAAACGATCATTTCACCAAAACAGAAGAAGTGAGTTTAAACGTGGGACCTGGTGGAGATGGTTTTATAATGTGACTGAAGCATAAAGCATCACAGCAAACATTTTAAAGACTAAATAGACATTATAAAGAATTACCATCAAATAATGAGCATCACATCTCTAAATCATGTTCTCAATTAGGAATTCAATAATTATGGATTCAAAATGTAATTCAAGTTTTAGATTTTAATACTTTTACTGTTAATTCAACTGTCTGTTAATAGATTGATGTGATTATAAACTTATGTAACATGTCATTTAAATTAAACTTCTAGAAGAACTCTTCTGGTGAAACTATCCAGAGCAAAGTTAACTTCCGCTTGTTGGATGAAAACCTCGTAATTCCAGTTTCGGGGCGTGTCGGAATTTCTGACGATGGGAAGAAAGAAAGAGACTCAATGTTTTTATCTCGTATAAATTGTTAGAAAGAAACATG